TTCGAGAACCTCGATATTCCCCTACGAGCTCGAATCTTTCCTAAATTATAGTTTATAGTTCGATAATTTTTCACGAGTTTCCCCTCGAAAGAGGTCCTCCATATGGTAACCTTGGGCCGATCCATGTATAAAATCGATGAAGCCGGGCTCCTCTACAGGGCGTTCCAAAGGAGAGCGGTATCGGTTGGGCGCGATAGTGTTTCCACGGCTCGGTTGCCTCGGATCGATATCTCATCGAATAACGGTGAACGATGTTTCGTCACGATGGAATGCAGTTGGAAACGTCGCAAGGTCGGTCGCCGGCATAACCGATCGCTGCCACGTCTCGGTGAAAAGTGGCGAGTACACGAGTACGCGCCGCCACTTGCACTTGCGCTCGTTTCGCTGTGTTAATGCGCCACCCACGCGTCTCGTCTCGTTGCGATCGCGGCCACCACCGCTTCCGCCTCGGCGATAAAAAAAAAAAAAGAAGAACTCGAGATTCGAATCTTTCGAAATTGTTGAGCTTTGGATGGGACGATCGGCGATTTGTTATATCGGATAAAAATTGCGATTGAAAATTATTATGCTAGAATAACGTTTCTTTTTTTTTTTTTTAAATATCGTTTTACGAGGAATAAATTTTGAAGAAAAAATATCTGCTCGTTTTTTTTTTTTTTATTCGTTATTTTGACAACGACTTTGTGGAACGGAATACGGATATTATTTCGTATAAAAATAATTGGCGATATTAAATTTCGAAGAATCGTTCGGCCCCGAAAGATTTACGCGAAAACACAATAAATTTATTTTACTGCGAAAAATATCCTTCCACACTACATTGTGATTTTTTTATATTCTCATTAAGTAATAACGCGTAATGGATGGAAATTTCACTATTAATTTTAACGAGCAATCGTAAAAAGGAAAGGCGATAAATCGTATTACCGTGAAAAATATCTGCTTGCATCCACGGTGCGAACTTCCTCGATGCTTGCCAGACCGTTCACTTGAAATGATAATAATACGCCGATAAAAAGATGGCCGATAAAAATTCCAAAAAATACCAACCCCAAGCGTACGATAAGATTTATATCGAGGTAAAACGCGGTAATAAATAACCACCATCCTCAAAAATATCGTCCTACATCCATCGACTTGGGCTCGGGCTTGGACTTGGCGGAGGAGCCCAGGTTAATACCACCGCTGCCTCGATTAAAAACAACAACAACAGAGGAGTATGCGCCGCGTTACGAAGATGTCTTTAAAAACGTTATTACTTCCTACGAGAGATTACGAAGGGGAGGGCGGCCCCCGAAGAGGTCTCTTCCTTTCCACAATATCATTCGACAAAACAATAGAGAACAATGGAACATTCCATTCCAGACTTTACACGCCGAACCGTGTAATCAGATGAAGCACCGTACCGCAATAACTGCACGTTAACTCGTACTGATAATAGAAAAGAAAAAAACCCACGAATTAAATGCCTCGAGCTTCCTCGACCCACGTATCGCTCCGCCACGTGGTGGCGCGTCGGAAAAGAGAAAAAAAGTGGAAAAAAGAAAGAAAGAAAGAAAGAAGAGGAAATCTCTGCCGCTTTGGCCGAACGAAAGATCCGTTTCTGTTTCCTTCCCTTTCGAGAATCTTCGGAGGGAGAGGAGGCGGTCGAAAGGGGGTCGAAAATCGTCCAGAAAAGCGATCGATCGTGAACTTGGCGCAAGGCTGGGGTCATCGAAGGTTCGGCCTTGACCTTATGGAAGAGTCACGTAACGAGAGGCTGGCCGTCCTCCGCGAGGAGGAAGGAAGCGGCGACGAGTACGACCTCGCCGAGGCAGACACCGAGGGGAGAAAGTGTAACCGATCCCAAGAGCTCGAAATCGAAAGTAATTTCCTCCATCTCCTCGCTCTTTCTCTCCTTTCTCCGCTTCCACGACCCGATCATTCTTTCTCCCAGACCGTAGGATTCAGGTCAAGTTCAACGGCTGCCTGTCCTCCACTTTCTCCACACCACGTTTTCCACGTAATCGCGACGATCGGTCCGCCACCTCTCGCAATTTTCTCGTGGCGAACCGTTCTTCCAGTTCTTCACGTTCGCCACCCAAATGAAATAAAATTCTTTACATCTTTTTTTTCTCTCTCTCTCTCTCGTTTCTAATTCATTTCCCTCCAGCTTAACCTTTTCGTGTTCTTCGAAAATACGCAGTTCGTAATCCGTTTGTAATTCGCGGATATAATCCCACAAGAGAAGTCTCTCCCACAATTGAAAGAAAAAAAAAAGAAAAAAGAAAATCGAACATAAATCTCCACCGCCAATTCTTATCGCATCCGTCTATCACCCGCATTTCCACTACTACCATTATCCATTCCATCCACCTCCTTAACCGACCAACACCGTCTAATCGCGTCTACGTTTATTACGTCAGAATGTCAATGGCACCGGGGAGATCGGCGGAAGCGCGACGAAGGCGGAGGCGTAAGAGGTAAAGAGTTGGTGTCCGCGGTTCGCTGAACCGAATTCCCCTCCCCCGTTCGACGACGACGACGAAGAAGAAGGAACGCGAAGAGCAAGGTGAACCCAACTGGAAACCTCGTGTCTCGGGTGTCCCCCGTCGTGCTCCAACGAGGGGACCCAACGACTGCTTTACGGCGGCTTCTATGTACCCGGCTGGGATGAACTTCCTCGAGCCGTGTCGGGGGACACGCACGCACACCCCGGGATACATGCCACTTTGGGACGTGACGTCCCCCGTGGAATCGAGAAGGCGCGACTCGAAGGTGTCGAGTGGCCCGACACCGACGCGAAAACTGATTCATCGAACGATTCTTTTTTTTTTTTTTTTTTTTTTGCCCCCCCTTCTCTTCCTTTTCTTTCTTTGCCCGAACGAAACGCTTTCTAATAGTAATAGTAATAATAAGTTCGATAATATCGCGGAAAAATTCGGACGAGAAGTTTTACAAGTTCGAAATATCGTGGAGTGGAAGTTAATTGAAATGTTTGTCGATAATATTTTGTACGTCGATAAAATGTTTTATGGGAGAAAAGAAGGAGAGAAGGAAATAAAAGAGGAGGAGATAAAACTGGAGAGTAGTGGGAAAAAGTAGCGAAATCTTGCGTGGAAGGTTAGACGAATTCGAATGGGAAGCTGACCTTCGTGCTCTGTCTCTGTCTGTCTCTTCGTCGAGGTTTTTCCCAGAAGAACAATTTTGCAGAAGAGAGTTTCGATTCATCTCGCGAAGCGACACGCGCTGTCCGATAGTGAGTCAGCGGGTTGCGGATCCCAACGGCATTGACCAGTTCCCTCGGACAAATATCTTGAAACGAATTGCCGGATGGACCTTAACATAATTTCAACGTATCGTATCCATTCGTATCGGATACGAGAGAATCGTAATGTATGAATCATACGGCGATATACTACGCAATTATTCGAGTAAGTTTATTTACATACATCACTTCTTGTAATGTTTCTGTTTCTTTTCCTGTCATAAACCTCGACCTTATACTTGAATGTTCCAAATGTTTACATCAAAATTGTTAGATTTTATAATTCGATATTTTATAATTTGATTGATCGTCGAATTTGAGTTTGATATACGATACAGAAAGAAATTAGAGATTGGCAAATTATTTGGAAATTTATAGATAACGAAGTTAGGACAGAAAAAAAAAGAAATTACTTTCTCTCCTAAGTTTGAAACACTTTACAAAGCAAAGTTAATCAGCGTAACGTTCACTAACGATCACTAACTACTCTAAATCGAACCACTTACTTACTTCGACTACGTTATTCGAAGAATTATCTACGATGCTTCGAAAATAACGTTTACTTCTTCTTTAAAAAATAAAAAAAAAAAAAAAACCGTGAGAAAAATATAAAGAAGCGTGATATTTGCCTGATATTTCGCAACGTCGAACGATTCAACGAGCGTACGTACGAGGAAACGTTGAAACGAAGGAAAGGACGAAGCCCAGCCAACGAGCGGATGCGCTCGCAACGACGTGCGGAGCGCGAATGCGCGACGGGAGCCGCGCGCCGTGTCTCCTGCGCCTCTGCGCACCGCGGTTCGCGCACCGCACTTGTACGCTCTACGTACTCTCTTCCTCGTCCTCTTCCTCGGCAGCGCGACACCGACCCTCGAGGACTCGCGCGACCGACACGATCTAAACCAACCAGAGATCCATCGCGTGCCTCGAATACGCGAATTCTATCCTTTCCTAACGAATACGATAAAACAAAATAAAAAAAAAATAAAGAAAGAAAAAAGCAAGCGTCCTCACCGATCGCGACCTCGAATCTCCATCTCCTTCTCCACCAAAAAAAAAAAAAAAAAAAAAAAAGAAAGAAACCGAAACGAAACGAGTCGAAAGATCTACGCCTAAAACACGATTCGAAGGAATCGGATAAAAGGGAAAAGCGGAGAAAGAAAAGAGAGATCGCGAAAAATGCGAGCAAACGCGAGCGAACGAGCAACAGCAGCAGCAGCAGCATCAGCAGCAGCTCGGTGATTGACCATTGCCAACCAATTGGAAGGAAAGACGAAGAATCGAGAGAGAGAGAGAGATAATAAGGAATAAAGGGATAGAGGCGAGTGCCGAAAGAAGAAGACGAACGAGATGAGAGAAACGAAAGCAGAAGGGCGCGCGGAGGGAGGGGGGACGACGACGCGAGGAGAGAGAGAGAGAGAGATGTATCCACGGGCGGAGAGGGGCGGAGGGGGGAAGAAAAAGGAGAGAGACGGGGAAGCAAGGGACACAGAGAGAGGAAGAGAGGATGGTCCGGTGTAGCCGGCGGGCACACATCGGCTCCTCTCCCTCGCCAATCGGCGCGCGCGGCGTGGGGCGAGTTTGAGGTAGGGGGCCGCACGACGCACAGCGGTGGTGGCGGTGGCGTGCTGCGGCGGTGGCGGCGGCGGTGGCGGCGGCGCGGCTGCCAAGGTATTTAAGGTACCGTGAACCGGCGGCGCACGAGTAGTTCACTTCTGTTCGGTGCGGTGTCGCGGTGATTTTTGAAGGGGACAGAGGAGAAAGAAAAGGGATAAAGAGGAAAATATCACACACACCCGCGCGCGCAGAGGGAAAGAGAGAGATAGAGAGAGGGACCCAGACAGGGGAAAGAACAGGGACGAGAAAAGAAAAGGAGATCGCGCTCTCGGGTACTCTCTCGATCGCTGCGAGGGTGCGAGAGAGCGGCGAGGAAAAGGTAGAAATTTTTCTCCTCGTAGACGACTCGCTCGAGAGGGGAAGGCGACGGAAAAGAGAAAAGAAAGAACGAGAGAGAAAAATCGTTTCGGGGACGATATACGCGCGTACGTATTTTCGAAACAAGTGACCGAAGGTTCATCGAGATTCGTTGAAGAACAGTTCCAGTCCAGGGAGAAAGAGATCGCGAGACCACGTTCTTCGTATACCGCGACATCGTTATTCTACGTTATTTATCGATATCGAATCGAGCCGGCCATCCGGAAGAACACGTCGCCGGACAGGATCGTCGGGGTCGTCTGTCGTTGACGACCGTCCTGGATAGGTAAGTCTCATCTCAAAAAAAAAAAAAAAAGAAAGAAAGAAAGAAAGAAAGAAACAGTGTGGATCATTTTTATTAGTGTGCGATGGAGAAAAGGGTGGAAATTGTAATCGTATTTATATAGTGTCGAGTACGTACGTTTCGTATGTAACGACTTTGTACCTCGATCTGGTGTTACCATAAGTGATCAAGATCAGTGATTCTGTTGCGCTGTGCTCTCACTCGCGGACCACGCATCGTTCTCCTGCTCCACTTCGTCGTCGTCTTCGTCTTCGTCTTCGTCGTGGATTTTAATAAAAAAAAGAAAAAGAAAAAGAAAAAAACGAAAGAAAGAAAGAAAGAAAGAAAGAAAGAAAGAAAGATGTGACAAAGAGAAAAATATTAATAATAACGATAAATGTGTGCCTCGCGAGAGGGATACGTTGATCCGAAAGTGTGCTTCTCTGACAAGGAAATTACGTATATATATATATATATATGGTTATTACGTGCAAGGGATAAGAGGTCTCGGAAGAGTAAGCGTAATCGTTCGTTGTCGTCGAGCGATAATACGAACGATCGTTATACGTGCGAAGTGATCCGCTTAGCTTTCAAACGCGATCGTGAGTCGTGAGAAGGGATCGATAAATCCGCGCCGGGTGTAAAATCGCTTCGTAACGGCTCGACGCCCGATCGAAATACACCTGTTACGTACACCTACGCGTTCCAACTCGCGACAACTTTACGAACGAGAAATTCCTCGATAGAAATAATTCATCCCGTATATAGATAGAATAATTATACAAAAGAAAGGAAAAGAAGAAAAAGAAAAGAACATTTTTCAAAAAGGAATTTTGAATTTTCGGGAATATAACGGGAATGGAAATTTCTCGCCACGGGGGTTACGATCGTTAAAGGAGATTTTCCGTGGTGTGGGTGAGTGGCTCGCGGTCGGAGGCTGGACCGGTTCGACTCACGGAACGGAGTCAAAGAGGGCCCGGGCCTAAATAATTCAACGCGGCGGTACAATAGGTATGCGTGCCGACTTGCAGCCGTGAAGGCTAGCCGTACGTGCACGAACACCTCGTACAATTAAGAAACCGTGTCTGAATACCGAGGCAAACACGGCCGATAGGTTAATACCAAGCGAATCTCGACGCAACCTGTAACGCGTCGCCGGATCGATCGGAATCGGAATCTGAAAGATCGGTATACGAAACGAAAAAAGGCTCCTTCCGTAGCGAAAATGAAAACGAATATTTCGACGATTCCTTCTCCAACTACGCGGACTATAGGACATACCGATCGAATCTCGTCGACCGACGAGTCCGCGGCGATTCGTGAAATCGATCGAAACCGAAACGCCATCGAAACGACTGAAACACCGTGGCTCGAAAGAATTCCTTGAGAGATGCATTTCAAAGATTCGAGTTTGCAAGCTATTCGGTATAGGGTATATAGATTCGGGTATCCGAAACGGGAGATCCGATCGTTCCTTCGGTCCCCCTAACAAAAGGGGGGGGGGCGAGGGAGGGGGAACAGAGTCGAAACGGTATCGATTTTCCCGGAGGCAGGTCCGCACGGGAATATAAAAGTAGGGTCCGCAAAGGTGGAACGCGAACCTGGCATAATGAGTCAGAAGAAATTCCAGGGATCGGTATATATAATGGATCGCGGCGAAGGGTCGGCAGACGAAAAATGTAAACTAGAGGAATCTAGTTGGAGGCGCACGATCCTTCTTCGTATCCCGTCGGCCGACGTTCCCCTTCGTTAAATCGAATTTTCAATATCGAGGACGACGACGACGACGACGACGACGAGCAAGTTAGACGAAGGAGCAAGATGCATCGTTATAGAGGGGAAAGAGTCGAACTCGTACGAACAAAATATAATAAAATTCCTTAAAATTTCTTAACAATAATTTCTTAATTTTAACGTTGCGTTTTAACGAATACGCGTTTGAACGTAACGTAACGCATGATAACATTTCGAGTGAAATCGATCGATAGTAATAACTTCTCGTGTTTCGACGGATTCGAGTGGAGTTTTATCGCGTATTGAATCCTTGAATTTATCTTAAACTTTATTTATTCGCGAATAGGGTCGAAAATTATTGGACGAGATTTACGGCGAAACGAGGTACGCCGATACGGGGGAATTTCTGAGAATGGATCGGGTCGGTCGGGAAGTATTCGTACAGGGGGAGAACGAGATTCGCTCCCTCTCGCGGGGAATAAAGAGAAGGCGAATTTGTCACGGTCGAGGTACGTTGAAGAAGTTACGATTGCATTATGAACCGTGATCAGGAGTGTAGGCGAGCGTGCGCTCGTTTCTCGATCCGTTGCCATACCGTGAATCACCTTTTGCCAGGAAACGCGGGCTTTCTAATCAACGATTTAACTTTGCTTCTCCGCAATAACGACGACCAATTAATTACGCGACCGCGCTCTTTATCCGCTAATTATCGCGTGGAAACGAGTTGTTTTATACCGTGCTACGAATTTTCATGAGCCTGCCTAGCCTCTTTCCAGGGTTCGATAACCGATCGTACTTAACCGTGTACGATATATATATATATGTATTTTACTCTTTTACGATACGTCAGCTTTTGATTCAGCTTTTCATTTTTTTTCCACTTGTCAGATTTGTATATAATCTTTTTTAACTTTTACAACTGCAAATATATTATAGGATAGGATTTCGTTCGGGTCTAAAGCGATCCGAATTGAGAATCAAACAACCATCGACATGGAATAATTCGTCGCGTTGCGTTAATATTCTGCATTGGACCAATAATTTTGCAATTATTGGTTCCGTCGAAATTGAGAAATGTTGAAAAATCGCGACGATTCCTTCCCTTTTGCAAATTCCTCTTTTGCAAATATCGTTCGTAAAAAAAAAAAAAAGAAAGAAAGAAAGAAAGAAAAAAGAAAAAAAATTCCAACTATCGAATCTAATCGGCGATCGGGAATCGAAAAATCGCAAACGTACGCCTCGCTCGTAATCGCATCCATGCCCTCGTACCTTCGGTCGCGTTTCATACCTGTTCCAATCGATCGAAAGGCTAAATATTACCACTTGTTCGAGTTCGAGCTAAGAGTTAAAACCTGCGAGGGGCACCTCGATCACGATCAATGCGTGCAATTTGCATTCGCATTTTCCTCGCTTTCGTATCCGTCTTACAATGCCTCTGATTACTCCGACTCTTTGCGCACCGCCTCCACCGGCTAATTGCTAATTACTAAACGTTAATTACCGAGACCATCCTCCGCTCTCTGGTCTGCGGTCTTGCACCGTGGTAACAGACAGGCCGAGTTCGGCCTGCCTTGTTAAACGCATCGACGAAAATGAAATAGAGTAATGGAGTGTGTGTAAGAAGCTATCCGAGGCACGCGATCCGCAATAACCGTGGAGAATCGATCCGAATAGAGAGCGAGAGAGAGAGAGAGAGAGAGTTTAATTGCGGATCGATCGCGGAAGAAGACCAAGAAGAAGAGAAAGATTATTTTTTTTTTTTCTTTTTACGTAAGCCGATTTCGTATAAGCCTGTTCGCAACAATACTTCCATATCGTGAGACGAATTAAATAACGATCGAAAAGGGGAAGGGGAGGGGAGATAGGAAATAGATAAGAAAGAGAAGGAAGGGATAAGGGAGGATGGAACGGTTCTCTGGTTCTCTCGTAGAGAGGTAGAGAGAAGAGGTAACCGTGGCAGGTTTTGAGTTAGGTGTGCCACGAATTAATTATCGACGGTAATAGCCGGCTGGGCTATAGTTGGCTCTCGGTTTTTCTTTTCTTCGCGTCTGCTTCACGTCCCCCTTTCGCAGAGAGGTGAACGTTACTTTTTGCTTCGAGCTCCAGACGCGCTCAGCTTTCTTTCGTTTGCCCGTTAGTGCCGTTCAGCTTTTCAAACCGTATACTACGGCGAACGATGTCGCACAACTTCTTGGCACGACACCGGCCACTTTTACACGCTTCGCCATTTCAAGCCTGCCCGTTGTTGTGTCGCTGTTGAATAATTAACCGCTGATTCCCGAACAAACGATGCATGTACGAGTCGGGTGATTAGCATTAAGAGGAAAGGAGAAGAGTGAGAGAGAGAAAATCCGGCGAATTTTGCCCGATCGATCGGAAAAATCGATACCGTGTACATTGCCGAGGTGAAAGTATAAATCGGGACGAGAGGCATCTCCAAGAATCTTCGTAAGACAATAATCTTCCGTTATTGTGCATGCGCCATTATTATTTCGACCGCCCTCTCTTCCGTTCGAATCACGTAGCCCACACGAAACGGTAAAAAACCGAGAGACGCGGATCGTGTCGCGCCACGAATTCGGGTCGTGCGCGACTCCAGCGCCACGGTTTCGTCTGGAAAAGAAAAAAAAAAAAAAAACAATCTAACCTCTTCGACAGACCGCCTTTCGACTCTTGGAATGTTTCGTTCTTCGAAACATGGCGGTCGTGTCTTTACGAGACGTAGCGAAATTTAATTATCGAATTCTTTTATGCATCAGGGACCAGAGAGATGTTCAGATCTCGTACGTGATTTTGAGAATATCGAGTTTAAAAAAAAAAAAGAAAAGAAAACAGGAGATTATCGATTTTTATTTATCATTGATTCTCCGTTATAGATTCTCTCGATTAAATTCTCGTTCGAAGAGAGTGAAATGAAAAGTGAATTCGAAAACGATCACTGTTGGATCACTACAGCCACGTTTAACGAACGGTTATATCTTTTGAAAAAAACGCCAAACTATTTAGAAGCGATCGAGCATTAAAAGAGGCAGCGCTTCCTATCGGCTAGCTGGGTATATAGCGTTTCAAAAAAAGAACAGCACCTGGACGGCTGGTCGGCCACTGGCCCCTACCTGGCCACTATTGAAAAAGGGCTATTAAAAATATCGAGCACGAAGACTCGACCTATCGGCCCGTGAAATCCTGTATTCAACGTGTGCTAAGGCGGTGTTCAAAAGCGGCGATCAATTATTCATTCTCCCTAAACGCACGACGAAACGTACGAAAAA